GGTAATCTGGATAACGAAGCGGGGTTTCGGAGACTGGCGGATTTTTTCTCCCCTTTTTCTCCTACGTTCCAAACGATATATTTTCGAAATACCTGGTGGCCGGGTGCGTCGGGTGAAACGCATCGGAGAAAAATATCTCCCCCCGCGTCGGCGGTGGGGCCCGATCGGCGGGGCACACGCACCGAAAAGGCAAGAAGTGGAAGAGAAGCGAAGGCTGAAGCGGCGGAACGGAGTGGAACTCGCGTCGGTGTGTGCCGTGGCACGCAGGTAAATATGTGCTGCCACGGCATATATGTATCCGCACATAGCAGCCCAGTTGGGCCTCTAATGATGATCTACGGTTAGCTACCGCGCACAGCTTCTATAAACCTCCTAATTTCTCCTCTATAAATTCGTCGAGGAAGGCTGCACCCCTTCCACCGTGGCTTTCTCGTGGTTTTTACTCTTCCGCAGGGTTCCCGCGAGCCGACGCGACCGATCGGCCCCATCTCTCTTTCCCGCAAGCCGTCGTAAATACGCAACTGTATTTAACGCGCTGCGCCTGTGTTGCCCCCGTCCATGAATCGTCCATGTGCGGCCTCGCACCGACGCAGATCATTTATTATTTACCGCCGCTTATGTGCCTCCGCGAGGAGAAGACACTGCGAGAGGAAGGCAGCAGCGCGCTGCACCAACAGACGGGATAAAGGAGAGCGAGGAAGATCTCGGGCCCACGGTATTACCACCGCGACAAAGCCGAGTGGAGTGGCGTTTTTTTTACACGGCCACCGACTGAAAAAACACAGTCCAACTATCAACGGGTCTGCGCTTTTTCTTCCTCTCGCAGAGGTTAGAGCGTGCCCGGGGAGGAACGCGATCGTGGACCCCTGCCCACGTGCTCGCGCGCTGCAATGGACTCGACCGGTAGTCTGCTTGCGCGTAACTCGGTGTCGAACGATATAAGTAGGCATATCGGTGGAATTCGGCGCCCAAGTGCGACACGGGATGGGCGCATCGAAGAAATCCGCGTGTTTGTAAACCGGTTACGCGAACGCCATTGGAATTCCAGTGAAAGTAACGATGCCGATGGGGCACGCCGCGCGGGCCCCGATCGCGAGCATCTAGACGCAAGGTGCTTTCGATACGACTATAAACGATTGCTCGTTGATTAATCATTCGGTTTCCCGATGCTCCCGGATAACGGCGGTTTTATTGCTCGTTAATTCCGTTTCTCTACGCTTCCGTGTAATCGCGTCGAGAACGTTAATAAGAAGCGACCGGAGATGGGGACTATTTATCGGACAAGTTTCCGAGGGAAAATTTCGTTCGAAATCGATCGAAAAGAATCGGGTTCTCGTTCTCCAAGATGGAGAGCGCGCGCCGCCTCCACCTCGAGGTTTCGACTGATTGTCCTGGTTAACTAAACTGTCATTTTCGGTTGGAAAGAATGTGGAAAAAAAAATTGAGGCGGATAGGGGTACTCGGTAGTAAAAGTTCTAGTAGAACCTTAATACCGACGAAATTAGTTTCCTTACCGTAATCATCGCGGTCGTAAAAGTTCTAAAACGAGGGTGAGTCGATTGCGGGGAATACTTCAGGCAGTGCAATATAACTCTTTATTGCGGCCGCAGGATAAGGTCATTTTTCAACGCGGAATCGGCACGTACTCCACGAAGGGTAACGCTTGCCACCGGATATATGTTTCTCGAATTAAGAAGGAAGGTAACCGGCGTCGATGCGTTTTAATCCGGCGTAAACTTCCCCGTGTCAAGGTTGACTCGATTCCGTCACGTGACAAGCGTCAGCTAGGCACTAAAATTTCGATAGGAAACGGAGTGCGATCCCTTATGGTCCAGGAGGAATCGAAGGGCGAATAGGGAAGCTGGAGGAGGGAAAACATCAGGGCGGAGCCTGAACATAGGAGGAGGAATAAAACGCGCAAACTCGATACACGCCTCTCTCTTTCTCTCCCTTTTCTCCCGCTTTACTCTTCCAGCCAACCACCCCATCCGGTTTTCCTCTTTTCACCTTTATATAGATTTTTTACCTAGTCGACCCTTCTTCTTTTCGCCCGGCGAGGCTTGCGCAAACTTCTCTATGCAGCCTGTCTTTCTCTCGTGACTCACGCTTTAGCCTACCTTTCTCTGTCCTAATTGTTCCGACGAACACCATGCTTGGTTACCCATAGACGAGTCAATTTTCGTTTACCAAGACGATCGAGCTTGTGCTTCGACGTTCGAAAATCGCGCTATTTAGCCACGTTCCACGTTCCGTTCATTTCTTAATTTTCCAGTTACTTCTTCGAGAAGCGTTCCAGCCATTCATCGTTCCGGGCCTCGCGGATAATAACGGCGCGGATCGCGGAGGCTCAAGAACCCTCGTGGGATCGATAATTATCGTATTTCGATAATTCGCGTTATATAATAATTAAAATTCGAACCTTCTTCGACTCTCTTGACGCGAAACGGGATTTTTTAAACGTAAAGATCGCGAGAAGTATCGGAGGTAAAGCTCGTTATATCGCGCGGCGGCCATCTTTTTTTCTCGTGCCCCCCCTCGGCGCTTCGAGAAGCGACTGCGGCTTCGACCTATCGCAATTACCGCAATTACCAGTAATTGTACCGTTGTCGGGATAATTCGCGAAACGTAGAGACATTATCGATCTCGTAGGTATAGCGGAAGATATATGATTGTTCCCTCGGTTAAATACCTTCCGAGTAATTTTCTGCACTCCCAGAAGCGCTAATGTTCCTCGTGGACGATTCTTATTCAAGGTCGAAGCGTCGAGGGTACAGAGAGGAAGCCGCGCGCGTATTCTAGGTAAATGGGTGGTCGATGGTATTACGAAAATGTCATTATCAACTCCAGGTAGAAACTCGTTCGCAGTGCATGCGATGGAATAATTTTTCGGCTTTTGTGCTCGCTGTGAGCAACGTAAGTACACGTCAGCCGGACAAATTTGGCCGAGTGTCGTTCGTGGAAAGGGGCTGTTCACGGAAGAAGGGCAGAATCGCGTGTCAGAGATGCTGTCAGATCACAGATCCTCAGGTATACAAGGTATTAGCAGTGTGCATTCTTAAAGACTGGTCACCGACACCCTGTAATGTTTACCGTGGTTAGTTAATACCCAGAAGGGCGTTAACAGACAATGTCCAGTTGAATAGGCAACCGTTTAAGGGTTTTTCCAAAGAGAGGTATTTCTGGCCAGCTGACCGCAGTTTCCCGCAAATCGCAATACTGTCGTGATGCCTGGGTGCGATAGAACAATGGACGCGGAAGAAAGGGTCTATGCAAAGTGTTATTAATTCCTTGATTAGGGAACAGCTTGCCTGGAGCACAGGTAGAGAACAAGGGTTGCTACGTGCTCGCTAGCTGACACTTGCCTCGGCGATGCGTTTAAATGCGTTTTATTGCAAGATATACGCGCTAGAAACAAGTTTTAAGTATCCCCGCTTGGATACGCACCATTGTTTTAACGATCTCTCCGCGAGGGTGGTCGTAAAAGTACTTAATCATCCACGGACATGGTATTTCGTTGGTCTCGAATATTTATTGTTCATCGAAGCGACGTATTTATTTTTCTACTTTAATCTGAAAGCACGCTATAAACGTTGCGAAGGTATTTATAAAAAAGCTCCCGAGAATGTGCACAATGCATAATTTTATACGGCCACGTGCACGCCGAGAGATTATCGAGTTCTTTAACTCCCCGATACACGTATTTTCCACGAGTACGGGACACACGGGATGAAAACCTGGATCCTTTTCTCCCGCGATAAATCGCGTCGATACGTAATGAAACGCTCGCACGACGGATCGATGGACGAGATGCACGCGTTAAAAAGCGTACCACGGGCTGTTTGCGTGCAGCCACGTCTCGCTACTTCGTACGCCCCCGGTCATCGGGCAAATTATTACGCGGCGCGCTATAAATTGTTAAGTTACGCGTGTATAAATATGCATGGTATGCGCATCGAGACATGCGCGATGCTCGTGCAACTCGTTGCACGAGAGTTCACTATCTCTCACTCAATTTGAGCCTCATCCGCCGTAAGCGGATCGACCAGGCTGGCCTTTTAACGTCGGATAGTCTCGCCTCTCCTGGCTCTAGAGCATAGACGCCTATAACAAACATTATCCGCCATAATGCCCCCGTGTAAACATACCTACCAACGTGCATCGTCCTTCTCTCCTCCTTCCGTCTTTTTCCCACACGTCTCCCTCTGTCCGCGGTCCGTCCACTGGATAAAAACTTGCAAGTTTATTTAGCCGTTTAGCGTCTAGAGGCAAGTTAAGTTTTTCGGATAAGTTTCCGTCCCGATTTCACCCTCGTACCCTACGCTCCTCTTATTAATTTCCCATCCATCGCCTCTTGGACACATTACTCCAAGGGAATCGGAAATTTGCGGTAATCGCGAGCTCGCAAATTTCTCGCAAATCGAGCCGCAACGACGCGCCATTTTCCACGACAGATAGCGGGGACGTCTCGTGGAAAATTTGCGAAAATACAGGAAAGGGGGTTTTGCATAAGAGAGATAGTAGCTCGTGGGTGGGTCGGAGACCGAGATTGGTCAGTTCGTATTCGCAGGTTTTTCGAGACCACGGTAGCGCGTTCCCTTGGTGCTGAAAAGGGCCCCCATGGAAGGCCATTCATACGAATACCCCCACCCTTGACAGGCCCACACCGAAATCCCCACCCCCGTTTTTGGAAAGGGACCGAGGTAGGGCCTGGAAAACTATTTAGGGATGTTACGGTGGGGGTAGGTCACAGTTTGACCGAATCCTTCCACGAGGTACGAGGTACTCGTGTCTGCCACACACGGATCGCTCGTTCTAACGCGTTTCACGGAGTCGTAGGGACAAGAGCTAGTCGATCAGTGTCTAGGATAGATCCTACCCGGTGCAATCTGTTTCGTACTATCAGCGACACGAAGAATGTCAGTGACAGTTTGGATTCAGTGCTGTGATATACCAGTGATACCCGGACGATACTGATTTACCCCTTGGATTTACACGTGTGAATGTCGGAGTACACCAGGCCCGGAACGACTCGCAAATCGGTGAGTGATCGCAATCACAGTGATCGGAGCGCGATGCCAAATAGCACGCGCTTGAGACAACGTAGGACGACGCTTGGTACGTCATAAAGTATCTTTATGGTCGAGAGGGAAACTCGGAGGGGGCAATAACGCGTGTCCGCCCTTAGAAAACCGTGGTTCTTGACAATACAGGCGGTTCCTTTCGCGTGGGCGGCCATTTTCCGGGCTCGAAAAGAATGCTAATTTCCTCATTGTGTCGTCGAGAAGCATCACGATCGGTGTCTCACGTTCGCGCACCTTGCTCTGCACCCTAAAAGTCAGCGTACACGGGAACAAAGTCGTGGTCCTAGCGTTCGAAAAATTACCATAAAAATTGTCCGGTTGGTCGCGAAGCGGAAACATCCGCGAGACGTAGACTAGCGTAACATGGTCGGATTGTGTGGTTGCAGGTGGAGGAATACGAAGGTTACGGTTGCGCACGAAACGGCAACGTGTCGGTGTCAGAGGTGTCAACGACGAAGGTGTCGGAGAGCAGCGCGAAGCTATCTTCGCAGGCGAGCCAAGGCAATCATCGGGAAGAGAACAGCTGGTGGGTGGCGGAGGAGGGCGGAGGTCAAGAGATAAGGGAGCGTGATAAGGGCGCAGCGGTGGCGGGTGATCTGGCTTGCCTGGCGGGCTACATGACGGGGTACTTGAAGGCGGCGGGCGCCTCTTGCGCCCCGACCGGTAGTCCTCAGTACCATCCCCACAGTCATCCAGCCATGGGGGTTGGTACTCATCCACATCCGCACTCGCACCCGCACCCGGGTGCACCTCATCCTGGACTGCCTTCGCCCTTCGCGCTCGCCACTCACGGTCATCCGCATCCTCATCCGCTCGAGCATGGACTCGCTGCCTTTCCGCAAGGTAAGTCTAATCGTTTCTAATCGTTTTTATTCCCTTCTATGCTCCCTTCGCTCGCCGTCGATAGTTGCCGCGTTCGAATCGAGAGCCACGTTCGCGCCATTATTTCCGACGGGTATGTAAATCGTGCCAACGGTTCAATGGTTGCGATGGGTAACGCGAGTGAAAGATATTGACGTTGTCGAGCAGGTGAAAGTGTTGTGGTAGAATCGTGAGGTGGCGGTAGCTGCTCGCTCGAGCACTTTTCGCGAGAGCTTGATAAAGGTGTCTCGTTAAAATTTAATTTTCTTTTTTTCTTTTTAATCGTAATTTCGTTATTTCTGTTTATTATTTTTGTCGCGGGTAGAGATTGGTAGATATCGGTAGCATTTGGACTGCGTTTATAGGATTTTAGTACAGCAAGGAACGAGAAAGTTTAGAGTGGTTTTTCAGCTAGCATCGTTTCGCGAAAATTTGAAACGTGGCACGAGGAGAGTTATATATCTTTTCGAAACTGTTTTACCTTGGCGCTTTTGCAAGAACGAAAAAGTACAATCGATTGCGAATGAAAGATCGGCGCGATTAAACGGGTATTCGATGGATTTATTTGGTAGCTGCAAACATTTCGTACCGCTTATCCGAGTTTTACGCTCCCGATCTCATTGTTCGATGGGTGATACACGTTTCCTGCATTTCGCGAATCATGCGGTCTGTTATCTCCTAGTAAAAGTATTTGGTCTGTGCGCCATGCTAGCCATTATTGATTGTCATGCAAATCGATGCATCGACTGAAGCCATAAAAAGTCGAAGCAAACTCGGGGCTTCTTAACTATAGTCAACGTGTATCATTCTGCGGCAGACGCTCCAGCGCATTTCTTCTTGCCGTCACCTTTAAGGTGTCGGTCGCGGACTTTTCGCTCGAAAATTTTCCAAACGTAGCTCGCCTGATAACATCCTCTCAAATTTGACGAAACACGATAGAAATACGATGGATTTCGATGCACGAGGCACTTCTAATTTCCTAATAAATTTTCCTCTAATAAATTTCGAAACCACGTTAAACGAAATATTTCAACGCCGGCAGGTTTCGATATAGACTTGCAATTTCCTGGGTCGAACATTTCTAAGTAATTAGGCCCCGTTTTCCCCTAATAAAATTGGCAAGCACCTTAAACGAAATACAAGCTGGACAATTTCAGGGCGTAATCCCGTTTCCTACGAATAATATATCGCACGACGATGCGTTAACAGTTCCGTAAATACGAATGTCTGCATGGAAACGGAGCATGAGATCCTGCCACATATTCGTAAGGTCATCGAAAGTTCTTTCCTTCATCTCGGAACATACTCCGTACGTACCACTCGCGTCTTCTTCACGGTGGTTTAAAAAGGGGCCAGAGTTACGAAAGAGAAAGAGAAATGCGGAGACAAGGAAAGAGAGAGAGAGAGAGAGAGAGAGTCGGGAGAGAGTAGAGTGATTCGAATCGCGGCAAGAGGGTAGGAGGAAGGGGCTGGAATGCCCCAGCGAAGAAGAGTAGAGAGAACCATGAGAGTAAGCCGCTTATCAGGGTGGCAGCAGGCAGTATAGGTCCAACCAACGCAGATAGGTGGGTTTCCATGGAAACACGGATCTGTCCGTTAGGTCCCTACGTACCCGCGTCCAGCCGCCTATCCGTTGTAGGCGTATCCGCTACACGAAAAGCCGTGGAACGAGAGAGGAACGAACCGACTGTCCCTTTGCCTATGTTCGCGCGAAAGAGGCGAGAGGAAGAGGGCAGACTGGAAACAAGGCTCTCTGCGGGAAACGCGCGAATCGGTAATGGGCGCCGAGCAGATTCCCTTTTCATCGTTCGTTTATCGAGCAAGCGTTATGGTCCCGACCGCGATCCGACCTCGGTTCCTCGTGTCACTCGTTCCGGATCATCCCGAGGGTATGGTCGCGATTGTTTCCTAAGAATTCCATCGACAGTGTACGCAGCGGAACGACTCGCTCTCTTCGTTTTTCTCCTCTTCTCCACCGCGGAATACGCAATGCGCGACCAGGTCTCTCGGAAGAG